TGTGGGGAGGGGGTGCACAGTGGGCACCCGCGCACTGTTGTGTCTCGGGACTGTTTCACACCCTGGTGCTGACAGTCAGCGGAGGGCTAAGCAGCTCTGAGCTGTCCGTTTCTAAGGTAGCTAGCGAGGGAAAAGAGTTTATGACGGGATGGTTTGTGTTGTTTTAAATGGCACTGAGTTGACGCCATCATCAGAAACGTTTTGGAGGCTTCATTTCCAGTTCAAATTCACCAGAGCCCCCAAGACAGCGGGTGTAATTCTAGACTCAGATTTCTTTGGCCTGTTTGGGATACAGAATACCCATATTGGCATAGACCCTTACTAGAACTGTGGGGAGCACGTAATGGGGGACAGACAAAGTGTGCCAAGGTCTTGATGAAGAGTGCCGTGCAGGGCTGGAGAGGTAACTTAGTCTGTAAACTGACTACTTAGTAAACAAGAGGACATCCAGCCTCAAAACCCATATAAAAAGAACAGTATCGAAAGCCAGCAGGCTGGTACCTGCTTGTAAATCCCAGCACCGGACAGTTGTGGTCAGGCTGACCCCCTGCACTTGCAGGCCAGCCAGACAAGCCAAATGTGGGAGCTCCAGAAACCTTGTCTCTCTCTGAAAAAGATAAAATGGACCCCATCCAAAGATTGACCCCAGAAGCTGACTTCTAAGCTCCACACACGTATACATATTGTACACACACCCATGTGCATATGAATATCCATATATACACACACACAAATAAACACACCTACAGAGACACACGCACACACACATATACACAGAAAAACAAAGAATGAAGTGCAGCAGGGTATTGATGAAATTATTAAGGACACTCCACATACTTAAAAAGGAGGTTTATTTAGTGGCGTAACTTACAAGTGAAGGGATAGGTGGGTTGCAGGGTCTGGGAAAGGTGTGTCACAGTTTGGCAGTGTTCTCTGGAGAACTCTGCTTGGTCTGCCTCCAGCGTTCAGGGTCCAGGCACCAAGCGAGCCTACGCATCTGGATCTCGGGTCTTCAGGGTCCTCTCTTGGCCCCACCTTGTAGGCATGACAATTACCAAAGCCTCAATGGGGGTTGGAACTTCCAGATCAAGGTTGGAATGGCTACCCACTACAGCAGGGTACCAAGAAGACTGGGACTTCCATTGTCCTCGAAGACAGCTGGACAGTAGCTTAGGAGAGGGTGGCTGTGGCTGTCCTCCACGGTTCTTGGAGTATCAGGGAAAGTAAGCCTTCTGAGTTGGGAAATAAGACCCAAACAGGACTATACCTCAGACACCTCCATGCTTTTCCTTCTGAGACGAGACATGAAGTGTTAGCCTAAATGTTTTTCTCTCTGTAGGAAAAAGAGTGGAGGAATTTTCTGAGAGGGTTATCCTCTCAAAAGAGCCAGGAAAAGTCTGACAACAACTTTCCAGAGAGATCTGGGAGCATAGATCGTCGCCTACCTGGGCCATACGGCCCCTGCTAAGTCCTTATGAAGACGTCCCCGCAGCATTGGGGTTAGCCATACAGGATGAAAGCTGTTACAGACACCCCACCAACCCAGTCACGGCTGGTTTGTGACTCGGGGCATCCTTGAGAAGATGTCCTCACCACGTTAGTGTCAGCCACACGGGCTGAAACCTGCTACACAGAGAACACACCAGCTAAGTCACCACCGGTTGGTGATGTGGAAGATCTGTGCTGGAGATGCGGTCCCTTTGACATCTGGCTCAGACACATAAGCTACAGAGAATGTCGTGCTAATTAGACCAGGCAAGTTACCACTGGCTCTTCACTCGGAAAAGCTGTGTGAAAATGTAGCCCCCATATCACTGGGTCAACCACACAAGCTTCTGCCTGTGACCTAAATGCTACCAGGTAAGTCAACAATGCTTTGTGTTTTGGAAAAGCCCTTTATAGCTGTGGTCCCCACCACCTCTGGGTCAGCCACACATGCTTCACAGACTGGAACACAATAACAAGGTAGGTCAGCCCTGGCGGACAGGTTCCTGCAACCCGGAGCACTGAACAAGGCAGGAGGTGTGCCTCTGCCTGCTGATGTCTCCCTCCATCTCTTTTGCCTCCACTGTGCCTCTTACTTGGCTCAGGC